TACATGTCCTGTCTAGCCTGTTTTTTCCACCATCGTGCCACAATCTGAACTTTTTCATAACTAGGAAGCTATGCGTACGACATTGTCGCTGATTTCTGCAATGTTGGAGAACGACGTCGTGGCCATCTGTCGATACGCCCCTGATGCTGCTAAACATCTACAGTTAATGGCCCTTATTCCTCATCGGGATGAAGAGCTCGATTTTGTTGTAAGTTTTGGTATCGATCATTCAGAATCCGGACTGATGATGTGCTGTTTCAGTATCTTCAAGCTTTACGTCTACCATTTGCAGAGGATATGCGTCCGTTCAATTTCGTGAATGTTTCCGAAAGTTGTCCGAAACCGAATCGTGAGGTTTTTTTTCGTTGGGAGTCTTGGAAAACTTCGATAAAACTATCCTACCGTCGGGCTGCCTACCGTCGGGCTGGGCAGCTACCAGAGTAAACCGGTTCATAGGGAGACCGGCGCTCAACCGTTGTTGCTGTTGTCCCTGAACCATAAGCAACCGAGACAAGGGAGTGGGATGGGGCGCCGGGGGGATGAGAGGGGGGTGGTCGTCCAGGGCAATTTCCAACCGCGAAGCCTCCAATCCCTTCCTCCTTCCCTCTTTTCTTCCTCTCTATCTTCCCGTTTCTTTTCCTCCTCCCCTCGAATGATCGAACACTTGACGCGATGAGAAAATACCTCTGAGCCTCAGCGAGAGACTGTTTGGTTGATAAGAGTCCTGACCCGGTATGGGTCGGGGAGGAGGGGGGAGTGTGACAGCCTGTTTAGTGCGTCTTAGCAGCCCAATGCCGCTATATGAACTTTTCATAGGAATGTGACTTCACCCTTACCTCGTGCTTCCTTCTGGTCAGCTCGGTCCGAAACTCATACTGTACGGATTTCCATTGTTTCTAATGTATTTGATGCGAAGTATTGCAGACAAACAAGTGAATCTGATTGACGAACTCATTGATGTGATGCAGTTCAATGCTGAAAGCGGGTGGGTTTTTTTTGTAGACACAGTTTTAATAGTGTCGTTGAAGTAGACAATTTCGAATGTTTGAGCTTTTTGTAGGTTAATGGAAGCTGAATGCGTGTTAAATCCGTTTTTCCAACGACAATGTACTGCCATGAAACTGAAGGCTCTTAACGATATCAAAAGTGGTTTGTAACTGTTTCTACTTTTTTAACGATTACCGCAAAACTTACTGAACTGGTTTCCCAATTCAAGGAGATGATTCGAAAATCGCTGATCTCATTGCGCCATCGTCGTTCTTAAAGCGTGGTC